TTCAAAATTTCCTATAAAAGGCGGATCTGCACGCTTCGCCGTCCATCCTAAGTTGGCAATCAAAGGGTTAGCATCATATAAAATAAAGAGTGTAAATGTCTGGTGCAGTGGTAAGATCAGTCTAGATATTGACGTGGATATGGTTTCAATATGGGGTCTATGGTTTCAATATGGGGGATCATTTTGGAAAACGATTCTTACGCGCAGCACCATCTATCGGAATTCTAGACAATTCTAGACATTTCGAGGTAATTCAAGAAGTTTCTTGAAATTTCGGAAAAATTCAAGGTGTTTTCAGAAAATTCAAAGGAATGCAAGGAATTTCTAGGAAATTTGAGAAAGAAGGAAAGACCATGGACGTATCCACGTACAATTACAGCTGTATCGAAGATACAGCCACCTGCAATTTTTTTGTTTCTTTCTCTTTCCTACACACATAATACAACACCACTGTCCCAGTTAAACTATATCATTCTTCATAACATTTTCAACATCTCTATCAGTCACTCCAGCGTCAGACTTATCCGACGATTTATTGCTTGAATCGTTCAATGTCAACGAGCATTTTACTCGATTCAAACGATTCAAATCTTCTGAAATCCTATGAGTGAATGAATTTCCTTGAAATCCCTTGAAGTCCTAAAAAAACACCAGAAATCTTTGAAATTTTGACATCTCGAAACGTAGTGTACACTCTTTTCCGGAGTGATAATCCCCTCAGTAAAAATTTGTTGGACCTATTCTGAAAGTGAGCATTGCATTATCAATAAAGGACGATAAATAAACAATTAGTTTTCTTAGGATTTTATTTGGTTTCGATGATTTGACCAAGATACGGTAATGATGACTCGACCGGGACGTGTTAAATGGGTAACGTATTTCATCCGAGCCGAACTCAGTTGGCCAAACTAGCACCGAACATTAGGCGTGGCACACATATCAGGGCCGAACGGTTAACCGAGTCTAATTGCTGGTCGGTCTTGAGCTGGGAAAACATAACTTTTCGCACTTGGTGCATCATCCCCTCCGCTCAATCCCCTTTCATTACTATCGATCGATCTTTCCAATCTGTCTCCCAACATAATCTTCTCTTTATACGCTGTTCCAAATCCCACAACACCTTTTTCATTTGTCCTGTTCTAATTTTAGTTCCTCAATGCTTCAGTTCCATGTAACCGCCTTATCACTTCTATTGACAAGCCACTCTTTCCCAGATTTTCATCACTTCTTCACCCTTCCCCACCTCTATTGATTCTGTACCCCCCAAATAGTTCCATGGAATTCTCCGTCCAATTTGCCAAGCTAATCTCCTCATTTATAGTTTCCTTCATCTCCCTCTCCCTATTTGTAGCCCCTACGTACCACGTTCTTCTATCCCCTCCCTCTTTCATTTCCTATTCGAATTCTGTGTTTCCTTTGGATACACGGAGAGAAATGTTGAGTAAAAATTACCGAACTCATAGTTCGCTCACCGATTACGGAATGGACTCAGAAAATTTAAGTAACGGTATCGTACTTTTTCACAGGAGATTCAGGTAAAGATTACGGAACACGCTGAAAAAATTCCGTGATTTTAGGTAAAAATTACGTCACAGTTTCGTAAAATTTCCTACAACTAGATTGCGCTCCGGAATTATGGAAAAGATACGTAATTTTTATTGAATATTTCTCTCCGTGTACATCTTGCTGTACTCTTGCTTTTCCCTTCTGTACCCGTGTCTGTCCTCTTTCCCCATTATAAGTATTTTCACGAACCTGTCTCTTTCCTTTTTGATGACCTCGTTAAAGACAGAAAAATCGTCTCCACAATCTCCTTCCCCTAATCTTTACTTCCCCATCTTTTGGTCCAGTCTCTTCTCGCCCTCCTTTCCCTCTACTGCCTCTTTTATGGACACAACTGATGGAGAAATAGTCACACTTTCCTTCGAGTCTTCCTCACGATGTAGTCTTATGCTATCTCCGATAGTGATGGACTATCTTCTCATCATACATGGGCTTCGCTTTCTCATCCAATTCGCACTTGTCCCTGAGCCCAGAAAACCCCCTTGTCTCCTGAGACCTTGATTAGCCTTCTGCCACAGGGAGAGAAGAGCCATGGGAAAGAATCCCATGTCAAATTTACGACTTGTATGTATTCCTAAAATTTAGGAAGCATTACTATGCTATGGTAATGATTCCTATGGGGTATGGTATTACATACTATGGGCCATGGTAAGTCTCTCGATGGGAATGGAGCCTATGAAGATAGGAGAAATTACTATATTGAATAGTACCCTCTACCATGTTACAGGGTAGAGTGTACTATTAATTATGGTAAAGGGACCCATAGTCGTTTGGGAAAGTTTACCATAGTTTATAGGAGAGATTACCATGCACTATGGTAACATGACTTATATTATATGGTAAAACGTGAAAAAGTCATAAAATGTCACGAATATAAAAGATAATGATCACTAAACTATATCATGATAATGATGAGTATAATGAGATAGAAATTTCAAGTGGGATATATATTTATAAATTTTTTTCTTTTCGTATACCCTTTCGGGTCTTTACGATTTGATCCCTTTGCACCCCCCAACCCCCTGTACCGCATTTGCCGAAGGACAAGGAAAAACCTCATTTGAGGGAAAAACCTGCCCAGGTACAGTCGTCTCTTGCGAGACTCCCGCTCGGCAATGAAACCGTGAGATTTAGAGTGTTACAAATTTTGGCCCCCCCAGCCGAGAATCGAACCCGGGTCTCCCGCATGCCAATCCCACACTTCAACCACACAGCCACCGCCGTCGGTGATATATATTTATATTTAACGTATTTGGTTTCGACGCTGTTTCAATAATTACAGAGTATTTTCTTATAATGTTGGATTCTTTCCTATTAATAATCATCAATATACCTAGATTAATCATGTCGAATATCGGAAGGATCATATTTAACAATAACATATTTACATCAGTATTTTAATATCAGAATATACATATCTACAGAATAGTGGGATTTTTTGCCCCAAATTTTACCTAATCATTGGAAGAATTTTTGGCATTACGGTGCTATAAAAATTATTTAAAAATTCAAATGTGAGTAATTAAACTCAAAAACTTTGCGTGAGAATTTAGACCCAACGTTTCGGAACGTATTGCTTTCCATTCCCGGAGGTAGCTATATACGATAGGATACAAAATTTCATTTGTCGAAATCTCAATGTCGACCACCTCTTATCATTTATATCAATTTCATAGGATTGGAAATGTCTTTCAAAGGAGTATTCTTGTAATTGTTGAGTAACAAGAATAACTTGATTATTTGGCTCTAGGATTACGATATTGATCAAATATCATTGAGGATAGACCAGCCTCGGTCGGCATCATCAATATTACGTTTTCCCTGATATCATGTCCCAAATAATTGAGAGAGCTTACTATTGTAATATCTCCAGATTGATTGGACGGGAGAACTGGCAGAAAATGACGATAATTTGGATCTGATTCTAATCTCTTATTAAGAGCTGGATCAGGGAGAAAAGGTGGTGGTAAAGACTTGTTGATGGGTAACCGGTAATTCAATTTTAATTGTGCCTTGATGGCTATTTTTAGTATTTTCTACAATATCGGGAATACCATGTATACTAGTAAATAGTACTGTGGATGGTAATAGTATTACCATCCACATGGTAATCTCTCCTATAATAATGGTTGTCGTTGCTATATTGTATACTAATGCCTACCATGTTCGAATAGTATTGATTACTATACAACGTAATAGGCTTTACTGTTGAACATAGTAAAAATGACTATTGAGATTGACTTAGAAACCCTTTTACCATAATTTATGGTAACCTTTACCATATAAAAGTAACCCCTACCATTCACTTTTCTCCGTGCACACTGGCTAGCTTCTTTGTCTTCCTTTCGTGGGCCCTCTTCCATCCCTCCTCGTTTCTCTGTTCGGATCCCGACCCATTATCATCACCTCCTTCTTCCTCCCTCTTCACATATGTCTTGATTATTTGTATTTTCAAACGCCTTACCTCTGCCATCTTGTAATTCTTAGCCCCATGCATCTCCCCGTTAATAAGCGCTTCCCCGATAAACAGCCTTGGATGATTCTCTCCTAATTTCCTTCAATCAGTGGGTGAGTGGTGATCTCAACTGGAGGAACTTCCTATTTTCAATTATGGACTCAACTGACCACTGCAGTGGACCGTTTTTAATACAAATTTGCGCTTATTGATTTGATGAATTTATTCGGCTTTGCGGTCATTCGTGATTCCTCAGATGTTCGAGGTACATTGCTCCTTCATGCTGCTATTTGAATCCCATCGAATGCGATCTTTAAACTAAGAGAGGGACGCAATCCATTCATTCCCAGTGGTTTCGGAGATGAGATTTATAGCTCCACTATGTTTTTAATTAGTCAATGCACAAATTAAAAAAATTGAGAGCTCATCGGATCAATCGAGTGAGATTCGAAGCCACGACCTTCTGTAGTCCGGGCAGTTGCTCTTGACCACTAATAAATTCATCAAATCTATACATACCACGGTCGAACCGGCGACGATGGAGCGATTGGAATTTTTAATCTTTTGAAAACCGTCGAACGGAAGTCTAGACACCGAGAATCATCGGAGAAGTGTTAGGAAACTTCTCCGTAGGAAGCTCGGTCGATGGACGCCTGTGTCGACCAAGGTTATCCATGATTTCCCTTGGTCACCAGGAGAGTCTGTACGTGGGGTACAGCTCCTGGAGTACAATGCGACACGATTGGAGAGGAAGTCGGCCCATGAAACTGCCAATATGTATGTAAAAGCTCGGATAGCGTATATATGGAAAGGGACATAAATACATATCACGGTCGATAAAATCATGAAACTATTATTTGCTGTTATTGTTTATTTATTTAAATGATTCTCTACTTCAAGGATGTTATCTCAAACTTGAAATAGACTTACGTGAAATGACATTATCATCATTATCGAAATCTGTGTGCTCTAACGTTTTCAGGTGATGAAGGACTGGAGTGATCTTGAGGAGAGGTACCAAGATATAAGAGCAAGAGATCCAGTTGCTGCCGACGCATTTAAACGATGGATGACGGCACGATTCCAAGAGACTGTCGCAGCACTCGAAGCGAGTGGTGCAGCTGAGAAACATCAGCTCAGTGCAATGCATCAGCAACGAGTTCAAGTATGTATATTTCCTTCGACAAAGATCCGAAATGGACTATCATTTCCCATTTAATGTTCTTGTCTTTTTATCCCTTACTTTCGTAGGAAGCTGTTAAGCAAAGGAATGAAGAGGCAATGTCTTGCTACACTGCTGCATTGAATGAAACACCACCAAACGTAAATATTTGATATTTAAATTTGGTATCAAAACGGAAATTTATCAGAAAAACTGAAAGTCGAATTCCTTTATTCTAGATGCATCGAATTCAAAAATGCCTGCAGAAACTTTTGCGCGCTCTCCACAAAGACAGACATCATACCATCGCTCACTATAAACATTTGCTGGACAGCAGTCTTGAGCAGGCTCAACGTGAGAAGCCAGCGACTCTGGAACACCTAGCAGAAATCGATAGAATTACGAATCAGAGTCTACTCATGCTAGAACGGTACTAAATTTATCTTTTTCATAGTTCACGCCTTTCACATCCATCCATAGGGAAATCATTTTTGTCTTTTATTTTCTTTTTCAATTTTATTTATTTTTTTTCACACTTAGGTATCCGGAATTGAGTGCAAAAATTGGCCAGCTGATGGATGATTATGTACTGGCCCTCAGGAGCAAGGACGAGACACCTGGACTCTTACTTGCGATGACCCGTGAAGCTGAAGCGGCTATTCTGGATAAATATCAGGCAGATGTGGCCAGTAAACAGCAAGGTAGGGATAGGATACTTATTTAGTTCCACTTCTTCCTCCATTCCCATAAAAAATGAGTAGAGAACAAATTTAAGAACCTTAAGTTATAGCCAAAAAACCATTTATCATAAATATCATGGAAAGACGACCTCAAAATTGAAACAAAAAATCTATATAATCTATTTATATTATAGAAATCCAAATCGACTTCTGGTGATGAAAATTTGATACTCACAATTAAGACCCCAAAATTAAGAGTCACAAGGATCAAACTAAGGGTCAGGAGGGTTAGAAGAAGGATCATGAGGGTCAGTATAAGGGTCACAAGTGTCAGAATAAGGGTTATAAGGGTCAGAATGAGGGTCGGAATGCGGGCCACAAGGTCGAAATAAGGGCCACGAGGGTCAGAATAAGGGTCACAAGGGTTAGATTGTGTCTAAATAGGGGACACAAGGGACAGATGAAGGCTCATATCGGTCACGAGATAAGATAAAGGGTCACAAGAATAAGGGTCAAATTGAGGGTCGAAATAAGGGTAACAACGGTCAGAATAAGGATCATGGAGGTCTAATGGGGGTTAGCGAGCGTAGCGCGCAGGGGGCGTAGCCCCCTCTTATCAGATAAATTGAATACCTCTTTCTCGAAAAAATATCCCAGATAATGTTTTTAAGCATCACATCCGAGATATACATAGCGCCGGTGATTTCACTCCAAAAACTCGTGCCGAGGACAATGACCTACTGCTCTGTGGTCTCATTTTCTGCATCTTCAAATCACACAATCTCACCCTCTTTTTAAATGACGAAGTCCTAGATTTCTTAGCCCGGGCTTTCTACACCATTTGCAGGACGTTCTTCTTGATGCCATTTAGATTTCTGCGCTCGTTCCTTTGTCATTTTTGTATCCCTCTGTTTCGTATTCCTTTCATTGGATGACGTCGTCGTTCAGATCCTCAGTTTCATCCCGCTCAGTCTCCTTATGGTCAGACTTGTCCCGTCCGATGGAAGACTATAGCCTTTTGTTTTATTGTGCTCAGCACACTGCCTCGAGATTGTCTCCAAATTTACCCCCACCGGTAGATTCTCCATTGGGTGTAAAAATGAAATGGTCTGTGAAGCATTGTAGGTACTCCTTATCAAACGGAGTATTGTTTTGGACTGACTATATCAGTTTTGTCCTTTTATGAAATTATATCACTCCTTAGTTTGATTTCCCAATCTCCCAATTTCTCTCAATTTATAATTTATAATTTTCCGAATTTCATTATTTATTCATTACATGGTTTAACAAAATTCGAACGTATTCGACTACAAAAACGAGACTAACCCCATCTTATAGATATTTTGGTGCTGATTTTAAATTTCTTTTGGAAAATCTTGGAAAGTATGAACTTTCCGTGCAGGGATGTGAGAAAATAACATCTGCACCTCGGGCGGCGAAAACATGACTTTCCGCCGTTGGTACACAACATACTCAATATCATTTTTTTAACGATGATTACAATCTAGAGATTAAGCGAATCCAGAGATGATCTTGTTCATCTCGTTGTCGCATTCGGCATTACCTGCTTTTCGCCACGTGCACAGGGAGTGGAGAGTCAACACAATTTCTGTGTTCTCCGTTGTACAGGAGATCATAGATTCTGCCAATTAAGAACCAAATAGCAGCGGGCTCGGAATCAGTCTCAAGCGTTTCGTTAATTTCACCATCGTTGTCAAATACAGACATGCTGCAAGATAGAAATGTGATGATGACCTACAAAGCAATTGCTTTGAGGAAAGGAACTGTTATGTGTCATGTATCGGCAAACATCCAATGAGCGGAACACTTTTATGTAGGGTTTATTCAATCCTAGGAGGCATTGAGGGTAATGGTTGGGCATTGCTCTGGTTACACTTAAAATTTTCATTCAGCAAATTTTCATTTTACATGTCAACTAATTTTCATGTGCTGAATAATTACAGAATTGCACATTGATAGAAAGGATTATTTATTGTTAGCAAATGGATTTGGTTGGAGGCTAGGGTCGATTCAGTCCCACCAAATGTTTATTCGTTAATAGTTAACAAATGCATTTTTGAGAAGCCTTGTTTACCTCGACTTTCACCTTTCAAGTGAACCATTCGTTAACTATTCATTTGATCTCTTCAACTCTATCATTCGTTAATAGTTAGCGGAGCTCGTTTGGAATAAATGAATCATTCTATCCGTGTACACAAAAAAAATATCCGAATGGGATATATTGTAACGGAATCGAACGTTTCATTTATCGGTCCTCTTTTCTTTTTCTGTAATGTGTGTGTGTTTTTTTTTCTAAATTGGATTGCTTTTGATATTCTGAAAACGTCAACTTCGATTAAAGATCCCTTTCGTAATTAAATGAATGAATCGCTCCTTTCCTTCAATTTACCGTCCAATTCATTACAATATTTTATACTGGAATCGGGTATACGCATAATTCTGAATCGAGAATAAAATATAAATGATTCAGATATATTTTTTTCCTGATGCGAGTATAACATATACTTGAATACGATATATTTTATACTCCAATTCAGAATAATATACCTGAATCCGGTATATTTTATACTCAATTGAGAATCATGCATATATCTGATTCCGGTATCAAATCTACCCTATTCGGGTATAATTTTTTTTGTCTCTTAGAGTGGTTTTAGAAGAAAATGCTAAAAGGTTCTTCACCATTTGCTTCTAAAACCACTGGTTAACTAGACAATTAAGTAATCCTCTGAAGGATTTTGATCCTAAGTAACAATTACCGAGCAGTATATGGGTCTATACTGTTATCGAATTGTTTTAGGGTGAATCATTTGAAATTTTTTGCTGGAAATTCCATTCCTCACAAAAAAATGTTTCCTGGCATTTCTCTCGGAAACCATTCATTTCCGAGGTGATCCTATATTTAATAAAAATGTAACTTATTGCTCGTTAACTTTTAAACTGTTGACTAAAATTTAGGGTGCGTGCTTCAGAAGCTTCATCAAGTGATAATTCAACTAAAACTTCAAAGAATTTCGGCATTGAAAATTTAAAATTTGATAGAAAAAGCAATGAAAACTAAATTGAAATTCAATAATCCTTTGAACAGCGACAGAAAGTAAGGAAATTCAAGTCAGGATAATAGTGAATTTTCAATTAATTGGTCTCATTGTTTTCGTACTGCTCAAAAATTTGGTATTCCGTTGACTTGTCAGTGAATTAAAGATTGTTTCATTATTATTAGTAGCCTATGTGGCGGCACTGATTGCAATTATATTTGTTGTGAAGTCAATTAATGATGAAATATCCCAACGGACGACCATATGATCCTCTGTAGAAAAATTCTCTCGTCAAGGTATGAAGTATCACGTATGAAAAAATTCTATAGGATTTCCTGTAGGGCCATTCCAGGACCATTTCCTGTAGGATTTTCCAGATAGATTTCCTATAGGATTTCATATGAGATTTTGAACAGATTTCCTATGAAATTTAGGGGCATAAGGGTCACGATGAGGGTCAAAAGGGTCATGTGTGGGTCATATATGGGTCATTCAACGTCATTAGGGTCATTTAAGTATTGTTGTAACCGGTGAAAAGGGGGATTGCCTCAGGCCAACGAGGAAAATTATCAGTCACGACGAGGATGAATCGATTACCATTGAGTGTTTTTGGTAATGGACCTAGAATGTCGACTGCAATGCGTTCGAAAGGAAAACCAACATTATAAATTTGCAATTCTTCTCTGGCCCGCCGTGATGGACCATCTCGGCTAAAACAAACAGAGCATCTGTGACACCAATTCTCAACATCGAACTTACATGAAACCCAGTAGAATCATTTTCGAATACTATCCAACATTTTGTTGACTTTGAAGTGGCCACCAAGAGGAGATGAGTGAGCGGTTTTGAGAATCTTTTTTGTGGCTGAACAAGGAACAACGATTTGAAGGATAATTTTCGATTTGTCAGATGATTCCCATCGACGATAAAGAATATTTCCTCTCAGCTCTAAAGAATCCCAATAAAGCAGATAAACTTTGACATCGGAACCGAGGTGTGAAACTTCGTGCCACTCGGGGTGTTTATTTTGTTGTTTAGATTCAATCAGCATGTGGAGAGTTGGATCCTGAGATTGCAACACACACCAATCATGATCACTGTCAGAAATGCAAATGGTTCGATACACACGTTTCTCGTCCTCCTCATCTAGTAAGTTGAGTCTCTCGCACTTAGGACAGGAGCAAGAACGCCTAGATAAACCATCCGCATTGCCATAAAGATGACCGGGTCTGTGAACAATCTCAAAATCGTAGGTAAATAGTATTTCGATCCAACGAGCTACTAGATCTTGAGGGTTTTTAAATGAAAGGAGCCATTTCAAAGCTGCGTGATCAGTTCTGATTAAAAAATTGCTCACCAAAAGATAATGGTTGAAATGTTCAACAGAAGAAACTACTGCCAAGAGTTCTCTTCGTGTAACGCAATAGTTTCGTTGAGATTTGTTTAAACATTTGCTGAAATAAGCGATTACCGTTTCTTCATCATTCTGGATTTGTGAGAGAGTAGCTCCGATGGCGAATTTTGATGCATCAGTATCCAGAATGAAGGCAGAATTGGGAATTGGAACAGATCGAATGGGAGGAGTAGTAAGGATCGATTTCAATTGATCGAAGCTCGCTTGGGTTTCAGAATTCCATCTAAACGGAACTTTGTCCTCTGTTAGAATGTGTAAAGGTTTAGCGATTTGAGCAAAACCTTTCACATATTTCCTGTAATAAGAACACAATCCAAGGAAGCTTTTAACTTGACGTTTAGTTCGAGGAGTTGGCCAATCAGAAATGGATGAAGTTTAGGTTAGACGCAGCTAAACGCAAAAATACAAGTTCAAGATTCCGTAAATGTTCATCGAAGTTACGATCGAAGACGATGATGTTATCTAGGAATACACGACAGATTGTTTGATTTAACCCTCGTAAAACTTCGCTCATTATTCTGACAAAAGTTGCGGGGGCATTGCAAAGA